TCAACCATATTATCAAACATATCCCAAAAATAATTTCTGAAACTTCCAGCATATGTTGGACCAAATTAGCTAGGTAATAGAGCTACACATGTGTGTTTCTTTTTCTCATCTTTTTTCCTCTATCTTCACTTTCCCTTGCGTATTTGCACGCATGGTGAGAATAGTGAGTAGAGGGAGGGAGAGAAATAACTAATTAGGATTACGGATACATCAAGTTTAAATTGCTTTTATGAGAACAACAGCATACTGTCAAGTGGTCAGATACTCTCAGCAGCAAAGGATTTACCACAGCCACAAGTTTGTGTTGCATTTGGATTCTTAAAGGAGAAACCTCCACCTATGAGTGCATCACTGTAATCCAGCAGCATTCCGTACAAGAAGAGTAGGCTCTTGGGATCACATACTGCGAGTTCACAACCAAAAACAAAGACAAGTGTTAATATAAACTCAACGTACATTATTTAATATGCGATTGTCTGCTTATGTTATTTACCATGTAATATGTGATTGTCTATGTTATTTGACACACACACATCAATTCTGAAACTTATGATTTATTCTCCTCTCCAAAGGATCAATCAACTCAACATAGATTGTTCAACATCAAGTTTTTCACCTTTCAACTTTAACATCAGCTCAACCTCTGAAAAGGCACAAAAATGGTCGGCTAAAAACTTATTAAAAGAGCTCAGTAGTAATTGATTGTATCAGGAATCGAGTTCAGTTTTGGTATGAATTTGCATATTTTTCTGATAAGAGTGCCACAAGGTTTCAAGGTCCACCATTGTTTAGCATAAACTAAAAAGAATCCTACTTGTGGATAGAAAAGTTGTTGGCTTTCAGTCCCATGTATGTTCAGATAAAACAAAGAAGAACCAAACAACTGAGATTCTTAGAAATTCAGGTATTCCTAGCAAAGTTCCATGCAAGTTCCTAAGGAAAGAAGAAAGTTAGAATCATATATATGCAAGAACTAGGTTTATGCTGTGATGGAACTGTCTGGTTTTGCAATGGATTTTTATAAACAGTAATCAATGATAATTAGGATCCTCAAGAAAGGAGAAAGGAAGAATCATACCAATTACAAAACCATTGTATTCTATGACTGAGTCATCAGGTCGTGTATTGGCTCGATTTTCAAACTCCATAGTGTAGGACATGCCAGAGCATCCACCTTGCTTCACTCCAATTCTTAAGCACAGATCTTCATCACGTTCAGATCTCATCGTATTCAGATGGTTTAGTGCCTTATCAGTTAATGAAATTGCAGGAGTAAAGCTACCAGACATTGGAGGCGCTGTGACATTTAAATGCAACTACAAGATTATGATTCCTAGAACAATAATGAATCCATTTGAAAGAAAACATTGTTCACTATGCTAATGCATCAGGCATTCCAAGCCCACAAAAAGAAAATGACACCAATAAAGTCCAAACAATATTTTACAAATTTGAACTGAGAATGTCATAAAAAAGGAGCTCGTTAATATGTAGAAAAAATTCTTTTTTAAAAAAGCAACAAGTATACTGTAGTCATGCTAAAAGACACCAGATCACTTGATTTCATGTAAAACCTAGTGCGATGGCTGCACCGAAAGGAAATGTTCAATACTACAATAACAGTCCATTAAAGCTAAGTTATTGTAGATTTTATTCATATAAAATGGAGAACCAAACATGAAGTGTGCATGCCTTATTTTCTAACAACAAATTCGTTAATGAGAAGATATAAACCAAGACATATATATATGTTTCCATTTAAATCATATACAAAGTTCCATACTAACACAAATACAAGAATGATGCTGCAAAACATGACATTTATATTTGAATGGAAGTTTAGTATTTAGATTGTTCAAACATTAAACAAAATTGCAGGTTTCTTTGGCACTTTAAAGTAATTAATAAAAGAACTAAAAAGAAGGATTTGACAGAGGCAGAAAGGTTGGCTGCTTGTGGTGTGTATTTAAAGTGAGAATTTTGAAGCTAGTAAGAATTGAAGTCAGATAATTTCTTTAGGACATTCATGTTGCGGGAAGAAATCACTGGGCAACACATGAAATGAAATGGTCTATTGTGCCTAAAAGGAGAGGATGACTATTACGGAGGATTGCATTGTGGTGCATGGAAGGAGAAAGGGGAGAATAACAAACATAATAAACATAATGGTCAGTTCAACAAGTTCACTTAATAAATTCATATAGGGAACATACAGTAATCATAGTTGTTACTAGCTAAATAGAGGAGGATTCGTGGCAGATGCATACAGAAATGAAGGTAATGAGAATCAAGTCCACAAATATTGTGAACCAAATGACTCCTTTCAAAAGGAAAGACTGATAAGATGAATCCAAAAAAAGTCATCTTGAATGGATTTCTCTCTTTCTGGCACCATTGATTTAATGAACAAGTCCATATAGAAATTAGCAGAGAAATCAGAAATGATAACGACTTGATTATTTGGACAAGTTTGGAATGGTAAATATAACAATAGAAGGGATGGTAAGAGAAAGGGTCTCTCTTAGATGCTTGGTTTGATGAGGAATGTTAGGAAAGTGAGAAAGGTTAGAAGGAAACTAATAAATGAGAAAGTTGTATAAGCAAATGGCAATTATGCTTGTTTCTAGGAATAAAGCATTAGGTGCTATAGTTCCATTGATGCGTGAGTGAGCAAAGAGACTGACACACGGCTACCTTCCATTGATGTGGCTGGTCATTTCCTGGTCATTTCAGCAACCCAATTTTGAGTCCAAAACCTAACACCCTACCTCCGGGAGATCGAAAGGACCCACCCACTCAATCCATACTTTCTTTGTTTGAGAATGATGTTGGGAAGATTGTGAGAAAAAGACCAGAAGTCGTCGAAATAGAGTCCCATACGCCTACCCAGCTCCACGCGCCATGACTCGTCTCGTAAAGGCTCCCATTGTGAAGAAGCATCAATTTTTGAGTGAGCGAGCCCCTTCAATGATGGATTTGTCTTCAAACCCCCACCTCGGTTTAACGGCTAACTCCTCTTATTCATTTCCGTAATATCACTTGATGTGCCATCATTCTACAGGGTCGAAAAGTGCCCGGTGGCATGAAGTTGATGAGCAGGGAGGGTTCCTTTTTCTACCAAATGGCCCCGTCTTCCTTATTGATGAGCAGGGATTTGCCATTTCGGGAGCTGTTGATTCGCTGCGATTAAGTTCTTCGGTGCTGCTCCAGGACGAACAGTAAAGGCACATAAAGGTCTTGGCTCTAACTATCGATCAAATGGTGGCGCTTGACCTTAAGAATATTGAAAGCCCAATATTGGATTTCGACTAGCAAGTTTACGTACTCCGGTCCTCGAGACAAACACCTCAGCAGAGCTTATCGGGAACTACAGCACCTAATGTATATATATATGTATATATATATATACATATATATATATACATATATATATATATATACATATATATATATACATACATATATATATATACATATATATATATATATATATATATATACACACACACATACATGTACATGTACATATATATATATATATGTACACATATATATATGTATATGTACACATATATATATATATACATATGTACACATATATATATATACATACATATATATATATATATATATATATGTATATGTACACATATATATATATATGTACATATATATATGCATATATGTATATGTATATATGGATGTGCCAATGATACCAACCCCAGGAAGTCCCCCTTTTAGCCAGCTCTAAGGGCAGGAGTTGTTCCCTTCAAATTCAAACCCCCGGTGATATTGATTAAGCAAGTTTACTACTAGGATTTTGTGGGGGAGTAATGAGATTGGCTTATCACCTACGACTCCAATTATTATAAATGCTTGTAAGGCCAGGAGACATCATTTCTTTTACGGATTAATTTAGTGATGGGTCAGAACTAATCTCTTCCCTCGGAGAACGAACTTCAAGAGGTATCTGTAGCTGAGAAGAAAAGCTTGCTCAGATTTTGGTTCTCGAGAAATGAGTTATAATGCCAAAATTTCGTCGACCTTAACACCACTGGTCCGAAAAACCCTAAGAATTTTCCGGCTCCCAACCTCCAATCAAATTGTTTTTTTATTGCCCAGATCAAAACAGAGTCAATCAAGCTATAATGTTAGGTCACTAAAAGAACAACAAAGAGAGAGCCTTTTTCACATGATTAGATGAGCGAGAAGGGGAAAAAATGTCAAGGAAACGTTTTTTTTACCAATTCAATCATAAAAGCACAAGAATTAAGCTAATAAGAACAAAATTTTCCATCGAAGAGAGGGACACACAACCATCACCTGAAATAGCTGACGATCTAACGCGAATCAGACTCCTGCATTTGACATCGCGCGGAAACGAAACGGAAGACCGAGGGGCGAGGGTGGTGCGAGATTCACCGCGCGATCGGCATAGGAGTTGGATTGGGGTTCCACATGAGAGCGCCATCAAAGAACGCGACCTACTTTTCCAGAGACTTCGGAGAGTCGTGCTTCAAAAATAGATCACCACCCAAATTTCACCGACCTCTCAGTCAATAGGTTTGTGTGGGCCCCATCTGTTGCTTGTGGTATATTACCTGCTTTTCAAGTCACACCTATCGATGATATTTTTTTGTGACGTCGACTCCCAAACAAAGCTGAATTTTCCCGTGGATTTAATTTGTTTTTTTAAATAAAAATTTAAATAGTTAAATTATATATGACAGTAGTAAATATTTCTAATTGAACTAAAACATATTGCAAAAATTCATATAGTCAATTGGAACATTATGAGTTATTATATTAAATGACTAAATGATTTTTATTTTATTTTACTATACGTATTTAAATCTTATGTTAATGACATCATCAGCTAATGCCAGTAATTTTTAGCGTTCACCAGATGAATGGATGGAAGCTATGTATAGCCTCCTCGATGATCGATGATGTATGTATAGAACTAATGAAACAAGCTTTTAGCTTCGATTGTGCTCTCATCATAGAACTAATTCAAATTGAATTGATTAATGATTTCTACAAACATAGCATATATGTTATGTATCCATTAGACATGATACATGCATGAGAGAGATGACACGAAGCATATGCTATCATTCTGGGTTGCCGCCGGAGCCGTCGGAAGGCGGCTCCCGGCGCACGAAGAAGGCCCAGAAGCCGCCCATGGCGACCGCGGCCGCCATGCCCCACACGACCACCGACACGGGCCACGGCATGACGGCCGCTACCTTGTAGGAGAACATCGAGGTGAGGAGCGTAACGAGGGACCACACCGCGGCCCTCAGCCTCCAGTTGTTGGCCCCCTCGCCGCCGCGTTCCAAGGCACGGAGACAGCGGAACAGGAGCCAGAGATCGGCGTAGGCGACGGCCACGAAGGTCACGACCGAAGCGTCGTCCCTGGAGCGGTAGACGGCCACGGCGGAGCTATATGTCAGGAAGGCAAATCCCAGGGCGGAAAGCCATGCGTAGCCATCCTTATCCATGGCGGCGGCGGTGCAAGATGGTCTCGGTCGACGGGATCAGACAAAGCGGACGGCGAATTCGAGCTGCTCCGGAAGCCAAAGCCGACGTATATAGCGTGAGGAGTCCTTTAGGTGAAGGCTTCAACAAGCAAAAGGTGGCCTGTCGGCAATGCATTATCAGTTCTCACTGTGACGGCGGTTTTGTTCATACGAGAACGGATTCCCACCGTGGGTCTTGCCAGCGATGGTGATGATGAGTACGGAAGTCGTGTGTTCAGATCTCCGGCCTCGAGATCCTGGGTTTCGAGGTCGGCGGAGTGAATCAGCGAAAGAAGGAAGGTGATCAGATTGGATCGGCTGAATTGGATACAAGGGACGCGCATTACCAATCATCTTGCAGTCACATATCACTTTCATAGATTAATAAGATTTTCCTTTTTTATTTATTTTTAAAAAATAGTAAAAGAATGGTTGATAAATAAATAATATATATATATATATATATATATTTTTACCACTCAAAATCAACTCTTGCTTTGATTATTCTGAAATTGCCATAAATTGGTTGCCATATATCACATTTAAAGCCTTTTAAAATTAATATTTCAAGCCAATTAATTCGAGAAAAAACACTAATAATAATTTTCTTATACTAAAACTCTTAAATCAATTTCTTATATAATGAATTTGATAGTCTTGACTAATATTTACGATCAGCTATTATTGTCAGAAACAACATCACAAACAATTCTAGCCAAGTCAATGCCAAGTTACTTTTTTAGAAAAGAAAAGTCACCAAAAAGAATTAAAATCGAAGTTATAAAGGAGATTATTGCATGCAGCAAAAATAACTCAGATGTAAAAGTATGATGGCCTTCTTTACTGCAGATGTCATGTTAAGTATGTTGGATCTCCTCGTGCGGCGGATTAAGCCGCGACCGTTGATGGGAAGCGGGCGTCGGCGTTTCCCATGGCTTGCGCTACATGTCCGGCGAGGGGACACAAATGGCACGGCTCTCTTGAAGCTCTAATAATGAGATGCACATCAAGAAGAACAGACGCCTCCTCGATTGATTCGAAGGGTCGAAAAGAAATCCCCTGAACAACGATACAAAACCAGAAATGTCCGTTCGCCGACGTACCACCACTCCTAATGATCCTACGTTTGCGTTCCTTTGGCCAAGAACAAGATCGTCTCCTTCCCCTTACATGCTCTTGCCCTTGTCATCCCTCGCCACCTCCACCGGACTCATTTGCTGCATCTGCACCCGGACCTTGCGACAGCCCCTGCTGCGTTCCCCCTCGTCCGCCACCCTCACCTCCACCATGTCGGCCAAGGCGGACATCGCACCCGTGTAATCGACCACCACGTCGCCATCCACCTTCCCGTTCCCGCGGCCGCCACCGACGTCTCGAGCTCTCGGCGCCAATCCTCCTCCCTCCCCGACGAAGCAAGCGACGGCGAGCACCACGCACGGGAGCGCAAGAACGAGGACAGGGTTGCCCGCGACGGTACCGTGCGCGAGGGGGACGACGTGCAGGGATCTGCCCGCGCCGAGGTACAGCCGAGTCACGAGGCAGTCGAAGGCGACGGCGATCATCAGCAGCGTCATCGCCACGGCCACCGCGTTGGCCATCGCCTTCCCCCACCGGTGCTCACCGGGCATCTTCTTGATCGTTGCTTCGGGGAAAAGGCGGGGAGGGGTGGTGGATTCTTGACGTGCAGCGGAGCGAGGAGGGATGGACGAGGAATATGAGATGGGTGAGGAGGCGCCGCGAGGAACTATTCTTTTGCTGCGGAGGAAGGCGCGCAGGGAAGAAATATTCTCGGCTTCTGATACGAGGGGTGGCTAGGTTTTCCTGCGGCGTCGGCTACCGCCATGGATTGGAGATGACTATATCACTTGGATTTCTTTTCCATGAAATCTCGCCTTTATATGGAAAGCTATCTTCGTGCACATCAACGAAGCAAGTTGATCTGCGACTCCTCGACACCCCATCAGATACCCCACCTGTTGATACGATCCACCCGTCCAAACTTTCTTTATGATTAACACAAAATATGATAAAGAAAGGAAATCCAAAACATATGGAATGAACACAGTGCACATATATTATCAAATACCCATTTATTAATGCGATCAAAGTGTCCAATATTCTTCAAGATTAACGTCAAATATGATGAGAAAAAAACCTCAGACATATATAATGAAATCGGTAATATTGATGGAGTCACAGCTTCAGCCATATTATAATTATAATTATAATTATATATATATATATAGGTAGGAAATTAAATTATTTTGGAAAATATATTATTTCGATCTTTTACTAATAAATAATATAGAGAGTTTAAGAAATCCACGTTGTTCGGCTTAATAGCTTGCACAAATATTCCCCTTTTGTCCAAAATATTACCCCTTTCCTTTCAATCTGTATAGCAGAACAAGTAACGTTGAACAAAGTTTGCGTTCGAATTCATTTGTTTACTTGAATGAAAAGATAAGAGAAAGTTTTAACAATTACTATTACAAAGGTACGCTCATGTTAGAAAAAATGTAATTCATGTCTTTGTCACATTGATATGATTCAGACCTATATATACGTAGGGTTATCCAAAGTAAAAACACAAAACTCTCGAGGTACCATCTGCACAAAGGTCGAAGTCAGGAGAGGTTTCCTGACATCAAGTTAGTAATATGATGTTCCCAAATATTGATTCGAGTAGTTCAAAATGAGTCTATTACATTGGGTTTAAGATATCTTTTAAAGGATGAAAAAGAGATTTTGAATGTCTTTCTCATCGTAATGAATGAGAAAGAAGCTTATAGTTACTCTCCATATCATAAAGTATAATAATGAAGATTATGATTGTTTTATTATCATAATGAATGAGAATGAAGCTTGTGATTGCCTTCGTTATAATGGATGAGAAGGAATCTTGTATTTGTCTGCTTTAAATCTTTATCCATATAAGCGTGATGGGTGAAGGATGACTCAGATCCCACATAATGATCATGTGTCAGTTGATATTGTATACCCTATCATTCCCCCTCCCTCCCAAAAGGTGTGCTTCGGGGTTCTTGTGAAAGGAGCTCGAAGTACATCATTTAGTTCATTTTTCTTATGAGCGTTCGGGATCTCCTCGTGCGGGTCGGGCTTTTTCGATTCATATGTCTTATGCACATTTCGTCCTGTGCTTTCGCTATAGTGGATTTCTACTGGCATATGTTGGGTTTTCTTGACTTACACACCTTAAGCACATTTCGCCCTATACCTCCACTATAACAAATTTCTTCATGTGAGTCGAGTTTTTTCAACTCATGTGTCTCGAGCATCTTGGCCTTGTGCCTCTACCATGGTGGATTTCTTCACGTGGGTTGAGTTTTCTGGGCTCATGTGTCTTGGATACGTTTTGCCCTGTACTTCCGCTATAGCAAATTTCTTCATGCAGGTCAGGTTTTCCCAACTCATGCATCTTAGGCATGTTGCCCTTGTGCATTCATTGTGATGGATTTCTTCACACGAGTCAAGTTTTTCCAACTCATGCATCTTAGGCATGTTACACCCTATGCTTTCGTTGTAGCAAATTTCTACTAGCGTAGATCGGGTTTTTTCGACTCATGCATCTTGGTCACGTTGGCTTTGTGTTCTATCATGGCAAATTTCTTAACGCGGGTTAGGTTTTCCTAACTCATGCATATCGGGCACATTTATTTATGGCTTCGTCGTGATGGATTTTTTCTCATGCAGATGAGGTTTTCTTAACACATGTGTCTCAGGAATATTGGTCTTATGCCTCCGCCATGGTAGATTTCTTCATTTGGATCAAGTTTTCCCAACTTATGCTCTCGGGCGTATTGGCCTTATGCCTCCGTCATAGTAGATTTCTCTTCACATGAGTCGGGTTTTCTCGACTCATGCATCTCGGGTGCATTTCACATTGAGTCTCCACCATGACAGATTTCTCTTCATGTAGGTCGAGTTTTCCCAACTCATGCATCTCGAGCTCAGTTAGCCCTATGCTTCCGTCGTGGTGGATTTCTCTTCATGCGAGTTAGGTTTTCTCGACTCATGCATCTCATATGCATTTGGCCTTGCACATCCACCATAGTGGATTTCTCTTCATGCGGTCGAGTTTTTCCAACTCACACGTCTCAAGCGCATTTAACCTCGTGTCTCCACTATGGCAGATATATCTTAGTGCGAGTAGGATTTTTTGACTCATACGCCTCGAGCGCATTTAGGTTGCACCTCCGTCGTAGTGGATTTCTCTTCATGTGGGTCAGGTTTTCTCGACTCATATATTTCAGGAGCATTTGGCATCGTGCCTCCGTCATGGCAGATATATCTTAGCATGGATCGAGTTTCTTAACTCATAAGCCTCAAGCGTATTTATCCTTGCGCCTTTGTCATAATGGATTTCTTTTCACGTGGGTTGAGTTTTTCAACTCACACGCAATAGATTTGGCCATGCCCCTCCATCGTAGCAGATTTCTCTTTACATTGGTCAAATTTTTTCAACTCATGTGTCTCAAGCACATTTGGCCCCACACATTCACTATGGCAGATATATCTTGGCGTAAGTTGGGTTTCCTGACTCATATGCCTTCGGCACATTTGACCTTGCGCCTCTACTATAGCGGATTTCTTTTAATGCATGTCGAATTGTCTCGACTTATGCGTCTCAAGCATATTTAGCCTTGTACCTCTTCCATAGCATATTTCTCTTTATGTAAGTTGGGTTTTCCCGACTTGTGTCTCCGACGCATTTGCCCTTATTCCTTCGTCATAGTAGATTTCTTTTTACGTGGGTTGAGTTTTCCTAACTCATATGTCTCATGCACAATTGGCTTCACGTCTCCGTCGTGGAGGATATATCTTGGCATGAGTTGAGTTTCTTAACTCGCACGCCTCCGGCATATTTAGCCTTGTGCTTCTATCAAACCAGATTTTTATTTACATGGGTTAGATTCTCCCGATTTATGCATCTTAGATATATTTGGCCTCGCACCTCTGTCGTGGCAAATATATCTTAGTGTGTGTTGGGTTTTTTGACTCACACATGTTGAACGCATTTGACCTTGCATCTCCACCATAGCGAATTTCTCTTCATATGGGTCGGGTTTCCTCAACTTATGCATATTGGGAGAATTTAGCCTCACAAATATGTAGTAGTGGATTTCTCTTCATGCGGGTCGAGTTTTCTCAACTTACGCATTTCGAGCACATTAGACTTGTGCCTTCCTCGTGACGGATTTTTCTTTCTCCCGTGGTGGCGGGCTTCAAGTTCTCCCTCCACCATGGTGGGCTTCAAGTCCTCTTTTCACTGTGGTGGATCTCAAGTTCTCCCTTTGCCATGGCAGATTTTAGGTCCTCATGCTATGGCGAGCTTTAAGTCCTTCATTTGCTATGATGGATTTTGGTTCCTCCTGCTATAGTAAGCTTCGGGTCCTTCCTTCGTCATAATAGATTTTGGGTCCTCCTATCATAGCAGGCTTCAAGTCCTCCCCCCGTCATGGCAAATTTCAGGTCCTCCTATCATAGCGAGCTTCAAGTCCTCCATCCACCGTAGCAAATTTTAGATCTCCCACCATGGCGCATTTTGGGTCCTCCCGTTGTGGTGGATTTCGAGTCCTCCTGCCATGGTATATTTGGGGTCATCCCTCCTTTGTGGCAGATTTTGGGTCCTCCCCCCACCATGGTAGATTTCACTTAACGTGGGTTTGGTTTTCTCGACCATGATAGTCGAAACTTCATGAAGAATATGAAGATCTTTTCCATGGTGAGCATGAGGTGTAGGAGGTCATCCTATATGATGTAAGTAAATATCACCTCAAGGAGCCACCCCACAACTTCTCATCATTGTGGGTGATGGTAGTCTACAGGCTCTCCTACATTATGCGATTCGTGAGGGCATTGATCAAGGTGGACTTCCCCAGCACCATGAAGATCTCCCCTTCTCTCACCACACTAGAGATGGAATTCAACAGTGTCCCGAAATTGGTGATCGCCTTTGGTGGCCCAAGGCTGACGGTCAGGTTGATAGCGAGGTCATTCTTGTATAAGAGTGATAGCTTCCGATGCTTCTTTATACTATATGAGAGATCAATAAAGATGAGGATGAAATGGACAAAGGTAGAAGGCCAAGTGGTCATCGTGCCCCCTCCTACGGCGAAGTCATCAAATTCGAGGATGTGATACTCTAGGGATGCATAGCCATCGCTCTCGGAAACATCACCACTGTGAGTGTTGCCGATGCACTTGAAGGGCTGGCCGAGGGTGATGGACTTTTTGTCATTGTCACATTCGGAGTCTTGGTTGGCATTAGCTCAAGGGTTGTGGCGGTCGAGCAGGCCAAGTGGTGGTGATAGTTTTTTGTGCTTCTTTACATTATACGAGAGATCGGCGAAGACAAGGATGAAAGGGATGGAGACGAAAGGCCAAGTGGTCGTCGATGCCACCTCCGGGGATAAAGTCATCGAGCTCGAGGACGTGGTGCTCTAGGAAGACATAACCATCGCTCTCGGCAACATCACCACTGTGAGCATTGTCGACACACTTGAAGAGCTGGCCGAGGGTGATGAACTTTCCGCTATCGTTGCCTCCAGAGTCCTGGCTGGTGTTAGCTCGGGGGCAATGACGGGCAACCAAGCCAAGTGGTGGCAATGATTTTTAGTGCTTCTTCGGGTTGTACGAGAGATCGATGAAAATAAGGACGAAAGGGATAGAGGCGAAATGCCAAGTGGTTGTCAGCGCCACCTTCAGGGGCGAAGTCATCGAGCTCGAGGATGTGGTGCTCTAGGGAGGCGTAGCCATCGCTCTCGGTGATGTCGCCGCTGTGAGTGTCAACAGATGCACTTGAAGAGCTTGTCGAGGGTGATGGACTTTTTGCCACCACCGTATTCGGAGTCCTTATTGACATTAGCTCGGGGTTGCCTTCGTGGGCGAGAGGTCTAAGTCTTGGAACAGATGCCCATATCACATTGACGTTTTAGCCGAGATAGATACATCCATATACGGAAAGGGAGGTTGTTATCCTTCTAAGTGAAAGTATTATGTGTCGGAGACAGGGCCTCATCATTCAAGCGTTCGTTGAGAAGGTTAGTAGGCTAACGTTCCTATGACATTGGTTCTCCTTCTAGCACCAAAATGTTAAGGAAAAATATTTTTGACATTTTGATCAACTCGAAATAGTTCGGACCGTTATGCATAATGTTATCTGAGGTGAAAACGTAAAGCTCCCATGGTACCACCTATACAAAGATCAAGATTGAGAGAGATTTTTTTGGCCCGATCCCTCCAATACTCAATGTAAGCAATTTGAGATCCCTAAATATGTGCTCGAGTAGTTAAAAAAAATCTTAAATTTAAAATATCTTTTTATACTTTAGAGAAAAAAAAATTATGATTGTTTTCTCATGATAATAATATCATAAGATTATGATTTTTTTTTATTAAAATATACTCGATCAACATATATTATAAATAAAAAAAATAAAATAAAATATTATTAATATAAAAATATACTCGTTATGATGAGAATAAAAGAGATAGAGCGATGGAGGAGATAGAAAAAACAAATTAATAATAAAATTTTATTTTATCCACTTATTCAAGTTATGTACAGCGATCTTATTTACACCTCTTCATATCTTTTTCTCAATATAAGAAAAAGGTATATTAAATTTATTCCTGAAGCATTTAGGAGAGCTTATATTTATTACAAAGAAGAAAGGCAAAAAATAGCTTACTAATACGAAAGAACGCTCATTATTTTTGGAGCATTTTACAAGAGCTTATATCTATTATAAAGAGGCAATAGAGTCTCTCTCTCTCTCTCCTACTTGACTTTGTCGACCCAACTCCCCTTGTCACTTAACCCATCTTAACATCTATGGTCTTCGGCTTCTTCGGCTCCGCCGGCGGCGGCTTCTCCACCGTCACAGTGAGCACCCCGTCCTGGCACAGCGCCGTGATGGCGTCCAAGTCCGCGTCCTCCGGAAGCTGGAACTCGCGCATGAACTTCCCCACGCGACGCTCCACGCTCACGTACTCCCCCTCCCCGTCCTCACACCTCCTCCGCTCGCCGCTGACCACCAGCGAGCGGTCGTCCTCCACCTGCACCCTGACGTCTCCGGGCTTGACCCCGGGCATGTCGATCTCGAACACCAGCTTGCTCGGCAGCTCCTTCACATCCGCCGGCGTCGACGCCGTGGCTCCACAGTCCCGGACGTAGGCGCAGGTGGCCCCGCACGCAGCCTTTCCCCCCGCCGTCACGTCCATCAGGTGGTGGAGAGCTGCCATCAAAGGGTTGTCTTCGAACCCCACCATGACGTCCATTCCTCTTATCGATCGAGTACGCCTCGAAGCCACCCGAGGAGTGATTCATATTTGACGAGGGTGGGGAGGGTAAGAAGAGGGCACGTGGCAGGGCTGCATGGAACAGGTGTCTCCTCCGGGTGATGGTCCAAATCGTTGGTTCGGGTTCGGTCCGATTGAAATCGAGCTCGCGATTACCTGTATGTGGTTCGATCTAACCATCTTTAGATGTCCTTTTTATTTTGTTCGTTTATGCCGATTGTGTGGGTCTATGGAATCTATTCAGAGCGGTTCGAATTGCTCTGATGGAGACGGCAATAACAGATTTGGCGAGTGATGACAGGTTGACAGCTAATGGGGCGTGGTCTGGGCCACCTGTCCTCTGCACGAGCGGTTACTTTTACTGTGTCACGTTTGTCCTCCGTTTGCTCCTCCCAGCTTCGTTTCTTTAGCCGTCCGTATCAAACTCAAGACCGGAAATTGACATAGTCGAATTGAGATTTACATCAAATTTGGATAGTCTTATCATAATTTTGACTGTCATGTCGCTGGTCAATGCAAATTCCTTGGCTTTGTTAGGAGGAGGATCATATGCTTGGCTTCACCGATGGCGCATTGTTAAGCATACCCAAAGGTCAAGAACACAACACCTCGAACTGCGGCGTCGCCCCTCGCGCCTCCGTCCCTCGTTCTGATCTCCGTCGCTGCTAATTCTTCGACTCTTCGAACTAATCCCATGTCGTCGCTCCCTGTTCTTCTTCTCTCCGAGGTAATTGGGTCCCTACCGCCATTTCTTTTCTTAGTTCTTTCCCTTGTTGGGTGGTGTCTACTATGGCTGTGAACGAATTCTATGAACCGCACCAGCTTTCTGTAGATCTTCTTTTTTGTGGGTTCCAACGTCGAACAACGGTTTGATGTGAGATTCGTGTTCGTTGTTGTCTTTCTCCTGAGCGGTTTGACCCCATGTTAAGTTCGCCTGAGGCGCAATCTGACTTTGAGGATGCTCGTGTTCTTAGATGTCGGTAATAGAAGTAAGGTCACTGTGGCAACACTTGAACGCAGTGTCCTCCCATTATAGTGTGTGTCTTATCTTGTAGTGGACAAGGACCAAGATTAGATCTCTGCAAAGAGATGCATTGGAGTCAGGAGGATGGAAATAGAGAAGATTCGCATACAGAACGCGTGGTAGTTGCATGATTCGAGTAATAGGATTTGCCAGATGCTTGATCAAGGTGGAAATTGTACGGAAATGGTTGAGAAGCCGAGGAAAATGAAAAATGAGGCCTTTTTTTAATGTGCAGCTGTCTGTGCTTCTTCATTTTCTTCTGCTATCATGAACCAAAACTTGTGAGAATATACAAGTGAAGTCTGAGGACAATGGGTGAAATCTGTCGTGTTTAAGAGAGGATATTCATCTAAGTTTGATAACGTGACCGGTCTTGATATAACAACCATCCCACGGAAGATATCCTGAAAGAGTGAAGAATCGGCTCAGGATTTATATGTTAAAGGAGTGTAGGTTCGGTAGTGTGCTATCATGCAAACTCGGCATGTTTCAAACTAAATTTAGGAGATACTTCACTCTAAAGAAGAGTGTAAAAGAGATTGCCCTAACAGATTGTGTCTCTTTGGAAACACAAGCTAAGGGGCAGAATACTAAATATAAACTATGAGGATTCATGGGCACAAAACCGACATTAGAAAGTTTTGATTTGTAAAAAGTTAGCAGTAGGTCATCACCTTTTAGACAAAATTTAGGAAAAGAATCACTTTAAAGAAGAAGAGCGTATAAAAGATTTCCCTAACAAGTGGAATGCTAAAGATAGCTATGATGATTCGTGGATGCATAACCAACAATAGAAGTTTTGATTTATAAATAAAAGCCTTAGCGTTGCAATTCTAGCAGAGATCATGTTGCCAAAAGAGGATATTCATAAATTATTGATCTGTCAGCCATTCCATGATTCACCACAGGAATAGGTTTTTTGGTTGCTATGATGGATGTTCTTTTCTAGGGTGTTCTTGTGGGTGGTACTGCCTTTTGGTCATTTAATTCGTTGCTCTTCCTTGTGGAAGTTATGAAATAATAGCTTATGTTGTTTGAGGTTTTAGTGATACAGTAGCTACTCTTTCAAAATTTTCACTATTTAACGTTAATCAGTTAATTGTGCTACGTTGTTGTATAGTCATTATAGAAGTAGTTTTGATATATTGTGTTATAATTGCAATGTGACCATAGAGTTATATGCATGTCTGCTCTAGCAAGTCATTCTCAAAATTACCTTAGCATTACATTCATGTCCACTTTGGCATGTCATTCTCATGCAGAGTACTGTTTCCTTGCTCATTTTAATGATAATGAGAATGTATGAAGCAGGTGCTTTGAGACTATCAAATAAAACTGACATACGCAGTTCACGCAGAGATGGAGCAAGGTATCATCTTCCTCTGGTCCTATAACCAAATGTTGTCTGTAGAGTCTCTTGTTGTCTTGTACAAATGAACTGTATGTCTAAGACCAGTGTCTTGCATATCATTCTAAAGCATTTGATATCAGAGTAAAATACGATGATAATGTTAGTAGATAGCGGCTTCATATGTTCGGAAACAATCGTTTCATTTGGTAAGAACTGGTGTAGGTTTGCATCAAACAATTGACCCTAGATTTTTTGTTGATACTATGAAATATTTTCCAATCATAGTTGAAGATGCTGTTTCATATGTCTTGCCTAGTGATAACCAAATTTTTATATGTTTGTGATTGTTACCTTTGATTGCAATTTTAGTCCAGTTGTGGTTAAAGATTTTCTTATCCTCCAGTTCACTTGATGTTAACCCAACTATTGAATGTTTGTGACCAATCACAGTATCCTTCTTATCCATGATGTAGAAAGTCACCATGCTGTTTGAAATTGCAACCCTCATCTCTAGAGAAATTTGTCTGGTACCTATTGTGAACCATTAATTCCAACGTTATTGGAAATATAAGACCACGAACCCTCAGTGTTTGTGGCACAAGCGCTACTTAAATAATTAAGTGTCCGAATTGGTTTTGCCCAAAATCTGTTTGAGAACATTGTAAGATTCGTCAATTGTGATGTTGCTATCTTAGGGTTTCATAAGTTCATTGGAGGATATGACCATTGAATTTGTTTGATTTGAAACAAAATCTGCCAGAATATTTGTTACTTTAAAACAGTGTCATGGTTGATAAAAATCTCATGTTGACTACAGGGAGATCTCATGGTTGTAAGGACTGTGGTGGAAGGTATATTCTGCTGAGAGATGATGAAGACCCTCGATTGGCAAGGTTTAACAGACGGCTTCCCTGCTTTGGGTGTGGTATAGGATGGTCATCGTGAGTATGGTTCCATATCCTGTTTATCCTTTTGTCTACTGTATTTCTATTTTGTGACATTCATTCTTTGCAGTTTGCTTTTGGGATTTTTATGCCCTTTGATCTGGTACTGCGCTGCAATTCTGTACTTATGCAAATACTATGACAACGATCCACGTGAGCGAAGTGGACTTGCTGCCTCTGCAATAGCTGTCAGTTCTACCCCATTCCTCTTTTCCTTTTTTTCCCTTTTAATGCAACAATACTTGGTAGAAACTTCCATCAATTAAAATATTAGTGTTGACTTGATAAAACACAATAAAGAGGTGTAAAATAATTGTAAATCAAATTTGCATAGTCCACCACAATTTGATAGTATACTACGGCCACTTTAGTGATCAAGTTCATTAGACTGAGAACTTTGGCTGAAGATATTTCATCATACATGTAGATATTTTGCATCTGAGTCATCTTGCAAATTTTGGCCTTTCTTCTGGGGTAAAAAAAGGATTGATATCTTACTAGTTCTTCATAGCTGTTTCTATTTCATTTCTTGGGATGCTTCGGCTGGTGAATATGTAATTCTTCTTTTCTTTTGGTTCCTGCAGGCATTAGTCTCTACGATTGTAGTGCTCATTACATTAGCTGTCATTTTTCTCTAGTCAATCACCATTTCCTGTATGAATTCAGTCAAGTTGCTTCTGTATCACACAGCGAAAATGGTAAATTGAAGATTAGTAAGCTCGGCAAGTGAAGCATGATCCAAAAGTTTGTGTTGTTCAGTGTCACTCGTCTTAATTACTTGTTTAATTCTGTACCTTGTGTTAATATCGCATGTATGAGCAAAGAATTCTTGTTCACATTTACACCTGATTTATTCATCTGTTTGATAAAGCACTACTAGTTATGACAAATTTTCTTTTTCACATTTACACGATTAAATCCTCTGTTTGATCAAGCACTACTTGTAGTAGTAACACATTTCTTAACTTTTATACTTGATCTGAGATTGCCCTGTTAGGATGTTTAGATGTCAGTATTTCCAGTATAAAGACTCAGGACTCTATTTGTAATTAGAATGAAATGAATTTTATGATGTTCACACTTTTGCTGCGGTTTCAAGAGTCTGGGATGGTTTTTCCTAGTACTTGTTCCTATTACTTGCCAAATCTCTTAATATTTAGTGTCTTAATTCTGCCAAAGGTTAAGAGTCTGGAATGAATCTTCATAGTACTTGTTGCTATGGTCACTTAGCAAATCTCTTACTATTTATTTAGTGTCTTAATTCCACAAAAGGTTATTTGAGTTGCTCACAGGATGAATAATCAGATGCAGGTCAGGCTTGTTTGCACAAATTGAGTTCAGACTTAGATTGTCCTATAACACTTGGATGACTACTCTTTCTCATTTAGATAAAAGGTTTCATTTTACATCCTTAGACTACATTGTTTTGCTTTTTTACTTTCTCTAGACAAATTCTTTATCTGCATCAGTTCCATTGATCTGAATTTAGAAGAATATTTACTTCAAGGGCTCAAACTTGTGTTTTATGGAAACATAGTAAAAAAAAGTTTTTATTCTGTCAAATTCTGCAATTGGACAGTGTAGACAATCTTCTTCTTTTTTTTTTTCTCTTTTTCTTTGTCAGGGAAGAATCTTTACATACTTCTTCATTTTGTTTTATTCAGTAAAGAAGACTCCATTACTTGAACATGTTAGTGATGCTAGTTGTTAGTTGTTGCTGCCCAAACATATCTCTAAGAACATTACAAACAAGTAGATCTACATCCCATCAATCAGCTTATGCTTTTTGATGGATTTACAGGATTTAAAATCTTGCAACTTAATTTTATCCCCATGCAGTTGAAGTTTCATTGTGCTTACACATTAGGAGACATGGAATGCTGTGCACAAGTGAACATGTATCTTATAATTATGACTAACAATATCAGTTGACAGTGGTGCTCTTCCTTTTTGCTGCTCTTTTGACTGAAGAAGCTTCTGAAGACATGTAGAAGAAACAAAGCTGCCTTGTTTTCTTCTTTTCTTCTCTGGTCAAGAGATCATTGACTTAAATCTTAGATTGTATATATCTATAGTGAAAGAGAAAACCATATGAATAACAACAAGAGATAATTCTTATTGATGCCAAAGAGTGATCTGAATGATAGTTATCTCGGATCATTGATTTGATTAATTTTTTTAAAAAATAATGTAATTATATTAATAAAAATAACATATAATATATTAATGATAATATAAAAATAATAATAATATAATTAAAGAGGATGATAAGAGTTGATTAGATACTTTGAAAGTAATTAATTAAATTACATCGAAAAATTTAAATACCTTTAACAAAAAAAATAAAGAATTAATGATAATTCGATCTATTAAAGTTCAAACTGTTTAATTAGTAAACCAATTTCCAATTCGCTTAGCCACCCTACACATAAACGTGGCTGATAATTAGCAATCTATTTGTTCCCGATAATCTCGACATGAATAAATAGGAAAGCCATCATAAGATAATGTGCAGAGTTATTCAGAATAATCTATTATAATAAATTTGCCCGTCCGAAGCTGATGTGGCGTCCACGTGGCCGAGACGTGACATCCGGAGGCCGACGTTGAAGGGCCGTGCTTTCTCCCACCGGCTTTGTCGTTGCCCGCTGATGGTCTTGAGGTGGGCCCCACAGACCCCCCCGCATACCGTCAGGAATAATAGCGAGGGTAGGACAAAGGGGTAGCGGGAAACCTGTAGGGGAAGTTTTTAGTTTGGATATGGAATAGTTCGTGGGTTTCACACCGATTCATGCTAAATGTGCTGTCGTGTGTTCCGTGGGAAGCAAAGGGGGAGAGCGAGGGAGGCGAGAGAGGGGCGACGAGAGGAGGATGCGGTGGGCGTGGGATCAGCAGCAGCTGCTGCTGCTGCTGCTGCGGGGGCGGGAGAACCGAGGGCGGGTGTGGGCGGGGGCGATCCTGCTGTGGCTGTTGCTCATGCTGGCCACGCCCAGGATCTCCCACTCCCACGCCTTCCACCTCTTCGCCGATATGCGCAACTTCTTGGGTGAACCACTCCCTCCTCCTCATCCTCCTCCTCCCCCGGCGTCCCTTACCACCCCATAACGACATCCCAATCCCAATCTTTGTTTCTAATGGCGACATCCCCTTTTGCCTCATGGTTTCTTATTTGGGTGCAGGTGTTCCGAATACTTTAAATGTGCTCACGACCTTCCCCTTTTTGCTCGTCGGAGTCCCCGGACTCGTCCTCTGCCTCTCGGGCTGTTGCTTCGGCATAAGGTTCGATCATCGTCGCGTGCTTGTTCTTTCTCTATCTTATTTTAATGATGTGAAGACGAAAAAAGATATGGTTTTGATTGGTAGCTTGAGAGGAGAGATGTGGGGCTGGGCGTTCTTCTATGCCGCGACGGCCACGGCTGCTTTTGGGTCCGCTTATTATCATCTGAGGCCCGACGATGATCGCGTCGTTTGGGACAAATTGCCGGTATTCCCCTCCCCCCTCCCTGTTCTTTTCTTCTCTCTCTTTTCTTTTAGAACTTTATTGTTTCGATTGATGTTAATTTTAGCTTTCCGAATGAGCCAACCCGATATAAAGAAGCTTTTACCATCGGGAACTCAATGAGAGTAAGATGTAAGATATTTGGCCTATGACGTTGGATACTTCCAAATATATTCCACTACTTGCCTTGCTGTTTAGAGAAAAGAGTTGGAGCAGCATGGATTACGCAGTGGTGAAATTCGACGGGTATCAAGAGAGACACTATCCATGTACTTGAGAGTTTTTCATAGCAAATTTGCAAATTGCAAGAAGCATTTGGGCATTGTCCATTGGGAAGGTCAGTCAGGCTAATATCAAGCCATAATCAACTTCTCTCTACCTTTTTGAAGAGGCAGTTGAACTAGTAGAAGATATGGTGTCAATTTGCACCCAATCATCAGGATAGGATTTCCTTTAGTAAATAGCCTTCCCTTTCAGGTAGACAAAGGTTAGGTTTGTTAGTCTTTTGTTTTCTTGTTAACTTTAAGTTTTCAAAGTCAGAGATATATTGGTTGCCTTGACTGTGTGCTCCATTTTTGTCCTTGATAGTAAATAATTACATAACTGGTTACCTTGGCTGGTTTTGCTGATAAATAAAATTTTAATACCCCTTCTTTGCAAATAAATTAGAACGCCTGCAGATCAAAATTTGTTGTTGATATTTACATATGATTTTATTTGCTTTCCTTACCAACTTCATGGTAATGATTATATAAGGTGCTTAGAACCCTTTCAAGAAACAAACATTTAGCGAGCCACCTATTCTGTACCACAAAAATTGAAACATTTGGGCCTCCACCTTAGATATGTGGCCTCAATTTGATAAATATTTGGATATTCCCCTCAAGTTCACTTTCGAAATTATGCTCTAGCAGATTCTAGTTACCTTCACTAATGAAATTCTTGGAGGTAACATATCTAGATTTGTTTTGAGAGGTTTCGAAAGCATCAACTTAGCAAATGATTCTATTGGGTTGAAAAAGGTTTATGCTGTGAGACTCTGGGAATTAACATATCTTGTCAGGAATTGCCCAAATGGTACACGATATTAGTTAGTGTTAGTTTTATTACCAGAATTCTTGAGTCATATCATTTAAGCATGCAAATGTCATGGTTTATTTAACTTGCCTGTATGGACATGATGGGCATTGAGCAGCACTTGGCTTGATACAGATTCCGATGGTTTATTTTTAAGCTTTCTTTGTCCATGTTATTTTGGTCTAATAGTTATCTTTTAACATTTGTCTTTCTGCAGATGATGACTTCAGCTTCTTCGCTCTTATCTATATTAGTTATAGAGAGAATAGATGAGCGGATGGGCATTTCTTGTTTGTCTTCCCTCATAACACTCGTTCTTGTTAGCATTGCATGTGAGAGGTGATTAATTTATTTTGTACTCTACATCCAATATTTCTTGCTAATGGTGAATGCTTAAAGATTATGTAACATAATCTTTTGTTGAATGTGATGTCTTAGTTGGTTTCAGGACTTTCGATGATCTGCGATTGTGCATGATGTTCCACATTGTGCCATGCATTGCAATCCCTGCTTTGCTCTTCTTATTTCCACCCAAGTATACACATTCCAGATTTTGGTTTTGTGCAACAGGTAGAACTTTAAACGTATGTTGTGTTTTCTGTTTACTATTTCCTCCATGAAGCAGGCAAGTATCGCGGATCATAAATTGCTAGAATTTTTACAACTCTTGCAGCAGAAATTACCTTCATTATGCTCTTATATTCATAATCATTAGTCATTACATCATAATTCTAGAAATTCACAATTCATAAGAAAATCTTGTTTTCATTATTTTCAGTAGTAGCTTAGCTCTATCAGAAGGCACTGTCTCGATGCAAATAGTTAGTTTTTGGAAATCCAAGATATCAACATAATATGACGGGAGGTGATAACCAAGAATGACAAGAACTTAATATGCCATAACTCTAGATATATGCTTCAGCAACTTTTCTTTCCTCTAAGTGTTCTGTCATTTGTCATCCAATATATTACAAGAATGAGATGCTAGAATTATATGATGTCTGGGGCTTATATGTTTGTCTTTAAATATCAACTTTTTTGGTTCTACTTTAAGTGATGTGGTTTTTATTGGTAGTACTGGATGTAAGCAAGTGTGCATATACCAGCATCAGATCTTTTTTATATTTTTTATGTTTTATAATCTATTAAAATTGTTGCCAACTGTATCTTTATATTTCATTCTCTCTCTCTGTTTCTCCTCTGTCACCATCTTATTTTCCTCCACCTCTCCTCTTCCACCTCCGCTGCCTTCTCATCCTCCTGTTA